CAGGGGGATGATGGGTCCCCTCAGGTCAGATTGCATTTAGCATGCTACTAAGGAAAACTACAGGCTGACTGTAGAACAGACTACAATCTGCTCGTGTATGAATTCCAAGACAAGTAAAGTAGAAGAACGAAGCCAACCAGTTTCCACAATACGATCTTCAGCAGACACCCATCATTTTTAAAGAGAACACAAGGAATCACTTTGAAATCCTGAACTTCATAGGTAGGGAATTAAGAGGAACTGTGTTATCAAATCTAATAATTTGTTAAGGATAAATATAGAAACTTCCAAAAAAACAGTCATCTAGTATCTGCCTCCTGGTGGTCAATGCAACTGGCAAAGACCAGGAAACAGAAGAAAGCAAAAAAAATATCAGAACAAATGGTGTGAATTGAGGCAAGCAATGAAAGCCCACAGCAGTATAGTGGTGTGAATTGTCAAGAAAGAAGAGAAGCTGATACAAAGGACAAAACCTCAGGAATAAACCTAGCAAAAAGAGTCAAGGAAGGACTATAGCAGGAGTTGTTTTTTTTTTTTTACATAATCCCAAATTCAATCTCCAATATTTCTGGATTGAGCAGAAATGACACCTTTGAGAGTCAGTTAGTGCCAATGGAATTGAGCTAATGGCGCAGTTTCCAATGTTGTTATTATATCAGCATAGTCATCCTGTGTCCCAATGGGAAAGGAATTTCAACAAGGCTTCTCTCTCTTATCTTTGCACTCCTGCCCAGTTACCTCTTTCTCTTGCCTTATTTCCATCCCCCTTTTTTTACTTGCCTACTGCAAATGCAACAGCCATTTCACTGCTTCTATCTTTGTTCTGTTCTGTTTTCTTGCTTGCTTGCTAGCTGGATGAAGTATGTGTGGACATTTCTGTGTTTGCGTGTCCAAGAGTAGAGAGAAAATTTGGTTGTGCACATGTGGATCAATTAATTTTATAAATGGGTATCTCATTCTGCATATAATTAAATAGTAATTAATTAAACTTGCTGCCTTTTTGGTACACAGTTTCTTGTGGTTGCATATAACACATGCACACATTCATACGGGTTGCTTTCTGCATACATTTCTTTGGAGTATGAGGAATAATAATAAATTCAGAGTCATCTTCCTTTTGGTTAAATGCAATAGGGGCAACATAAGTGATCTTAGATTTATATTAAGTACAGAATGTATCACAGGTAATAATATAAAAAATATTTTCAAAGGCAGCAAAGAAACTGAAAACAGACAGCCAAGATTTAAACTTATTTATGATTAATGGCCCAAGATTAAGCCAAGGCTCTTATTTATAATTTATGATACTATGTATTAATTTACCGGAACAGGGGCTATTTTATATATTTAATTTATAATTTACCATTCTGGCTCATAGAAGCTTACATCAATTATCAATTTTATCAATGTTCTCATTCTCTCCCCAGAGGGCCTTGTAATTTTTTCCATTTAAGAGCTAAAGAATACTGTAACCATAAACCAAAGAAGAGGAATTAAAGCTGAAAAACAATTCCTTTCCACACATGAGAAGTTTATGATTACTTGCTTTTCTCCAGCACAAAGCTTTCTGAGAGATTTGCATAAATTCTGTTCATTTTTCCATGTCTACTATAAGCTTGTACATTCTCAAGTCATAAGCAGGTCAGGCATAAAAGGGAAGTGGATGAAGCCACCAAAATATTTTTCTCTTTATCATTGTGTAAGTGTACTTGCTAGAAAAAGTGTCAGCCTGCCATTTTGTTGTTACCCTCCTGTATCTCAAAGCAGTTCAAAATTAAAGAAATGAAATTGAATAATACAATGAAAAATGTATGATCTTGTATGAAATCAAATAGTCATTAGAAAAGTAGAGGGGGAACTATTTATGCAACATCCATAGAGAGAAGGCCTGGATGAAGGGATAGACAGTTGATGGCTTTGGGAACATCCCCAAGCCATGCATCTGATTTTCCTCTGACTCCCTCTGCTGCTTGCTGAATGGGATCAGTGGGAAGAGAGCTGCCATTTTCATGTGGCTTGCCTCCCTGGCCTGTCATAGGACATGCACCTGTGACCCTGAATGTTCCACCTTCATAAAACTTTCTTTTCTGTGTTCTGCTATGCTCAGAATCTAACAGAGAATAAAACTCAAGTCTTGAAAAATATTTGGGTGGGAAGAAGGAGAAGAGATATCCATGTTTGTGCTTCAGTGATTCAATTTAGAAAAATATGTATTTTGCAAGGCCTGAAAATCAAATCCATACACTGAAACCTCAAACCCTTTTCCTGAAAATAAAAATGCTTAGATTCTGACCACCTTAATTCATTATGCACACACTCCTTCTGCAAGGTTGCCAAATCTTAACTCTGGCAAAGTTCCAATAGTGAATTTCTCCAGGCCCAGTTCTTTTCATCTCAAGCTGTGGTGACAGAAGAAATTGTATTTGGTAGAATTCCCCACTCCATGAAGCTCAGAAGAGCACAGTCCTAATTACAGCCTGTTAACCCAACCTCTAGTTATCATAAATGGCTTAGGAAGTTGATAACTGTGACATGCACTGTGGCTCAAGCACTGCACTAAGACAGATGCAATTGATTGCCTTTGACTTAACAAGTTGTGTGAACCTGGATCTTGCGGCTAATTGAACAAGTCATACTTCAAATTAGTCATGACACAGACCCATATGCGATTCCAACAATTGCTTAATTAAAGAAGTAGCATAAGCAGAATCTAAATATTTGTAGACATCTTGTAAATACATCCAAGTCAGCAGGCCTAAACTGGAGTAAAACTCATGCAACATGGGGAAACATGTCCCACACCATTTGACCAACATCCTCATTTTGCTCTATATAGTAGCAAACAATTATTCCATTTATCTTGTAGCCACAAGATTTGTTAGAATAGCAGGAGGACAGAGAAAGTTTTAATCCAATGTCAATTAATTATTTAATGTTCTTTTATTTTGGGGGCTTGATTTGAATTCAGGCCAGGCCTGAAGATTCCTCTGGTCAGACAGCTAGAAAGTCCACTGAAAGAAACGGTGCAGGTGGTCTTCCAGTTCAGTTTGCAGTGAAAATAACCCAGTAAAATACCTTAATGAATGCAGCCACCCACACTGGGCACCCTTTAAAGTAATTTCAGAAGCAAATTGAAAAACCGTCTCCAATGAAATCAAAGGGCTAATTCTCCATGCCAAGGTAAGTACAACATTAAGAAGGATTAGTCAACTGGAAAGAGCTTGTTACTGTATATGTTCCTCCTTAGCAGCAAATAAACAATATTTAAAATATAGCTGATAAGTATGAATAAGTTGTACAGTAGCTGTTCAGTCTATTTATTAGTGTTTTAAAAGGCTACATTGACCTGCTACATCAAGAGAAAGAAAGAAAGAAAGAAAGAAAGAAAGAAAGAAAGAAAGAAAGAAAGAAAGAAAGAAAGAAAGAAAGAAAGAAAGAAAAATAATTCTAAGGGTTGACTCTCAAAGAGAAGATTCTTTAAAAACTTGATTTTGAGTATCCTTCCATGTGTATCTCCCTAGAATTCTTTGTTCTTGGATCAAATATATATATATATACATATATACATATACATATATATATATATATATATATATATATATATATATATATGTGTGTGTGTGTGTGTGTGTGTGTGTGTGTGTGTGTGTATGTATATATATATATATGTGTGTGTATATATATATATATGTGTGTGTATATATATGTGTGTGTGTGTATATATATGTGTGTGTGTGTGTGTGTGTATATATATATATATATATATACATATACATACATACATACATACATACATACATACATACACACTTATGGCAACTACAGCACTAGGACTATACAGAGAATGTCAAAGCAGACTCTATGATGGTATGTGGTGAAGATCAAGCCTTAGAAAAACCTGTTATTAAAATGATTTGGGTGATGTTGGGGGTATATGGAATCAAGTTGGCTGTAATTGAACTGGCTTGAAATAATAAATATGCACACTTTCTTTAAACACAGCTTGCCACAACTTGAAAATCTGGAATCAATTCCTTCACTTTCAAGATGCTTAAAAGTTGTGGAACTTTGATATGTGTTTGCTTCTGGGTTTACAGTCCTAGTCAGGCTGCTCCAACTTGTATATTTCAAGGCAGCAAACTTAATCAAACAAAAGAGAGAAAGACTGAAAATCCAGGAAACTATTACATGAATTCCTATAGGGCTCAACTGAGTGAAAGGAATTTTACTATCCTAATGTGGATTCACCATCATATCCATATTATTACCATTTGAACAGAATCATGTTCCTTCTTCCACCATCTAAAAATGGGGGTGCTTAGACTGAGTTGAGAATTTGCCAACATTCACAATTTCTTTATGAAAAGAGTTAGAAAATAATATAAATAAAATATTAAATAATGCAGAACATGCAACTGCAAATTCCTTCAATCCAAGAAAAGGAAGAGGAAGTAATTGGCGAGGGAAGTGTGCATGGCATCCTTCATTCTCAGCAGCATTCTGCCCCTATCAGGACAGTTTAAGAGCCACTAACATCAATTCATACTCTGATTTAAGCAATATTTACCCAAAGGTGGCTGAACTATCAATATTATTCTACAGTTGGCACTTGGAAGAAAAATCCCTGCAGCTTTGACATTCAGCAATCAAATCCACATCCAAATTACTGTAAGAAAGCAACATGAGAAATGAATAAATGCCCACTACACTTTCACAAATGGCAATGATATTTCTTCTTCTATCTATAAAATACACTATGGATACAGACACATACTAAAATTGCCCATTTGAGTGACCGTTTTCATATGCCTAAAGAACTGCCAAAAGTGAGGGAGGAGAAACAGAAGCTGAGGATTGGGGAGGGAAGCAAAGGGGGCAAGATGCATACATTTGACATGGAGTATATTCATGAAGAGAATATACTGTCTGAGAAAGACAGTATTCTATAGGTTAGGTCTGCAGAGGAAGCATATGCAGTGGCTTCTCCTCTCACAACTTACTGTTATTGTCCTGCTGCTTTGTATTTTTGATAAACGCAGAGAATTTGGAGAATATGTCTATGCCTGCAGTATTAGATTCACGATGCTTGGCTGCAAGCTTAGGATATCTGTAAATAGAGAGAGATGGTTTTTTAAAAAAATAAAAAATAATGTTCCCAGGAAAGTAAAAAACAAAACTTCACAAATACATGCACAAAAAGACTATTAAAAGACACATTTTGTTCCTGGCAAGTGCTGTTTGAACATGAAGCAACATTTCTGTAGATCAATTTTTGTTTTAAAACTGCCTCTTATCTCAGCATGTCAGCCTTACAGGACCCTGCTGAAAATGAGTGGTGCCACAGGAAGCCAACTAGTTTTAAGTCACACTGCCGGGGTTTTATGACAAGGTTAATTGCACCAATGCTTAAAGTCAAAGAAACCAAAGAACTGTAATTTTATATCAGAACAAGCCATAGATCTTCAATGATATGGAGGAGTTAGGCAGTACACACTTCATTTCATTGTAAATGTAGCCTATTGCTTAATTCCCTCTGCAGAAAATCAATCCAAGCTATAATAGTCCTTTTCAGTATAACAACAGAAAAAAGTGGAGGGAGGCTCTCAGTATGTGTGCACTTAAAGAGATGTGTGATTAAAGTTCTACATGGAAATAGAATTTTGAAAAGTGTGTTGTAATTCTTAAAAAGTTACCTGTGGGCTGAGAATCATAATCTTAAAAGATTAATCAGATTTTAGTATTTGCTGCCACCAAAGACTATTGAATAAAATTTGCAACTTGCAGTCCCTGAAATCAAATGCATTTATCCTACAGACCATACAAGTGTTGGTGAGTGATGTCATGTTATATATGGGGGAAGAAGTATCCCACAACTCAGCATGACATAAATACTCATACTTACATATGCTGGGTCTAATACGCTTGAATGACATTCAGCTACTGGAGAAGTGAACTAATTATATAGTTTATTTGGATGATGAATCTGAGTTTATTTCCCAATTGGAAACCCAGAAACTGTGGTTTAATTCGAAACAAGATACTTCAGATGAAGATTTTTAAAAATAGAAGAACTCATGGCCTAAGGTTTCTGCCCATCAGTTCAAACTCAGATAAATATGACTTCAGAGGATAGAGAAAGTAGATACACACTTAGAATTGTAACCTGACAGACAAGCTATGAGAAAGGCAAACTAATTAAAATAACAGTTATTAGTATATTTGTTGTTTACTTTTATATAGTGCCTGGCAATTTTAACATAACTCTAATAAAATATTTCAGAAACAAAGATAATATATATTACTTTGGAGGTGAAAGAGTTTCCTCCAAAAATTCCTCAATCTTGTTTATATCTGTCTTGACTTCTCCGTTAAAAGTCAGAAATGGTGGGTGGGTCCCAGGAGCTAAATTATGTAAATCAGCAGGCTTTCTGTGGAAACCAAGAAGAATACATTAAGATATGTTTAATCATGTATGCTCTTACTTACTCATATTATTCCTCTTTTGTAATGATTCAGTTCTTTGTCTCTTTTTGAGTAGCTTATCTTAAAAAGTCCCATATAATTAAAAAGGATAAGATTTTCTTATCAACATGAGAAAATCAAGATTCCTAATAAAGATGAGAAGAAATTAATGTAATATTATTACAAACATTCTTCCAAGAGGGTCAAAAACTTATAGTACTACTTTAATTGATAACATTTACCTTTTCAGATCAACTGTGGTTACATTGAATACAACCCCTTTGAGCCAAAGTATCATGAAAAGACGCTGTGAGAATGGACAGTTCCCAATGCTTTCTCCATCTATGCCAGCCTACAGATAATAGGAAATCAACAGAGATTTAAACAATTAATTACTTTAAGATAAAAAAGTTTGGCTTAACAATAAAAATAAACCCTGGATTCCTTTAGGATAACTACATGGGTTCTTTTGATTCATTCTATTCTGAGCATATAAATCATTTTTGGTTTTGTTTTCAAACAAAACTCTGGCTAGAACAGAGGTATTACATATCGTTACCAGCCAATGTATTATAAACTGGCAGTGAGCGTTCTCTAGACTTGGAGAGAATGGATCAGATTTTATAAACAGCTATTAAACCGATATAACATTAGGCTTGAAGTCAAGTTCAGGCAAGAAAAAAAAAGAAGAAGGGAAATTAGGCTTTTTAGGAAAAGAGAAAGAGAGCATTCACTGAAAACATTTTTGCACAAAATCCAAGATGTTAGGTATCTCTGTTGTAATTGTTGCTACCTACAAGCTGGCCTATTGTTGTCTGTTCACAGGTTCCTTTTCCATTTTATTTATTTGGGGGTGACAAATAAAAAAAACACTATAGAAAACAGGAAAAGAACCTCTTTGTCATTCGTTTTGCCCTCCCCTCATGCAGTGAATGATTTATTAATTTGTCTAATGTCAACAAAATAAAAATCCTTTGACAACTGGTGTCTGATTGCTGCGGGAAATGTAAACAGAAGTGTTTGGAATCTGACCCAATAGGAGCGACGAGGGAAAGAACCTGATCAAAAGGGTAACTGAACCCATAGAGAGCGAGTAGACAGGCTTCCCCGTCAGCTGTTCAAAGTGGTCTCCAAATGCCAGATGGGATGAAGAGAGAGAATGCTTGAATGAATGCTTGAGCTAAGTAAGTCTAACAAAGGCAAAAACAATATTGTAGAGATAGATGAATAAATTTGGAAAGTTGGAGAAAAGAGTCCCTTAAAAATCACGCAAAGAATTGCTCTCTTCTGGGAAGAAGCAGTGTGCCATGTCTGGATATTTGAATGATGGTACAAAGGAAAAGGTTCCTAAAAGGGAAAGCATCATAAAAGACATAGGAGTAGTACACAAAAACATTAGCTGATTCACTGGGACAAATAAATTATTGTATATGGAGTGTTAATGTGGCAGATAAAACTGTTGTTAGGAAGATTTTCCTATTTCTACTCCTGCTCAATTCAAGCTCTCTTGTGATCTGAGATCATGCCTTTCTTTCTGCCCCTTGGATTTGCGATGATGTTGAGAACCAGCCCCTTTGCTAGTTAATTTTTGGTTACAGCTTTTGGCTACCATCCCGTTCCCCACATGCTGCATCCTTTCTCTTTTCTCCACATATCACCAATCTGCTTTCGGTTCACTGCTCCTCTCCCTAATTCTTTAATCTGGCATACTCTTTGACTTATAAATATGATATATCATGCTCTACGGAAGCTTTCTAATTGAATACGCATTCCCTTTGTTTGATTTATTGGTATGATTTTGTACTGACAAATCTAAGTTGAGGGTAGAATTGGATGTTCAAAGCAAAATTATTAGAAGTGTCTCTTTTGTATATATACTTTTTCTCCTTTCACAAAAAAAAATTGGTTTTGATATTAAATATTAAGAAAATTTAATAAATCAGTTTGGGCCACAAAAGCCATTGAGCATTTGAGAATTAAAAAACAATCCTATATGCTTAAAGAACATAAAGAGTTTTTCATTCAATTGGACCAAGCTGTATTTGAAATATTTGATCCTAGGTTTTCCAAGTTATAATTGTTTTTTTCTTATATTATTGTATAGCATATGTACATAATACTTTATGTTATTTTGATATGGTGGTATTTGTACAGAATTGACTAAAGATTATTAACAATTTAATGTTTAGATAAAAGAAAACAATATTAATTTCACTATTATGACTTTAAAAATCAATGGTAATGGTATGGGTATTTAGCTTTTTATCAAAAATTAAATTTGACATTTAAATAATCCTGCAGATTGCATCAAAATATTTGCTATACACTAAAGGCTTTTGTCTTCAGTTGATTACTTAGTATTAATGTCTCCAGCCTATTGTTACTTAATATTATTTGAAAATGATATTCTAATTATATATTAGTAATCTGAATAAATAATTAAATGTGATTTCACATGTTTGATTTCATATGTTTGATTGTGTAAAATCAACTAGCTGCTATCACTGTCACAACTCTTTCAAAGTTTCGGCTCCTAAGAGTCCCACTGGGAACACCCCTTCAGATTCCAAGACACATTGCACAGCCTTAGTTATATTCTGAAATACTGGCTAAAATTATTTGTTCAAGTGGGTAGAGATTCTGTGGTGGAATATAATTTGGCTTCCAGGAAGGAGAAGCTCCTTTTCAGAGGCAAAGAGTCAGTGAAGCTTGGAAAGTTTGGCGGGAGGAAGAGGGTTAAAATGGCTCTACTCCAGATGTTCCATGGGTATATCTGTAGTTATGTAAATAGTTAGTCTGACAAGATTCTGTCCGCAAGTGAAGAACAATAAAGGAAACTATTCATAAGCAACACTGGAGGTTTTTAAAAAGAAACTGGACAACCATTTGTCTGAAATTGTATAGGGTTTCCTGCTTGAGCAGGGGTTGGTCCCTTCCAACTCTAATATTCTGTTATTCAGGTGTGGTTCTTGGGGCATTACAGATTCTTAAACCAGGTTATCCTTGTCAACAAATTTTGATTCCTCATGGAAAAAAGCACAGATTTGTCTTATTGTAGATTCTTAGCTAATCCTTAAGATTACTGTGGCCTAAGGGTTCTAGAAAAGGTCAAGCAACATATCCTGGATGGAAATTTGCAGAACAATAGCAGCAGAATTTATGACCCCTGTAAATTTTGGGGGTTTCCACCTTATTCCTAAAGGTGCTTATGGCATTTTTGCTGTTCTCACCATAGACATTTACTTTCATCAGGCTTCATCAAGATTCTGCAACGGAAATAAAGTAACCTGAATCAATAAAGTAACCCAGAATTAATACCACCTCTTCAAACTGCTCTAGTTATTCTATAAAACTAATTCTCTGTTTTCCTATTACCTGATAAATTCTTTGAAAATTCAAAACAGGTTCAAAATATAAAGAAACTCTAAGTATACATAAAATCTGATAGACTGCTTTCTATATTAAAAAGCAATTAATTACCCAGTTTACCTTTTAGGCATTTCTACTTTATTATACAGTTTGCTGCTGGAATTAAAAAATTAAAACAGAATTTTGGCCTGTAACCAAAAATAAATTTAAATTGAAGTGAATTATATGGCTGGATGCTACTGATCACCAGACTGCATTCTTCTCTTTCCTTGCTCCCAACTTGAAGTTTTCTTTCTATGGAGAGTTGAGAGACAGTTCAGAAATATGTTGAGTGGACAGGAAAAGAACCAAAAAAGCACCCTTTGAAGCTCTGAAATGATTCCAATTCTTTGATAAAAGACATATTGGAAGAGGTCAGAATAGCTTTGATGTGTCCATTTTGGTTACTAACTGAGGATTCAGCCAAAGCAAATGCATACTGCATGTAAGGGTGACTGTGTGTAAACGATGAAATGTTTTTTTGATATTGGCAGCCATGGGCTCATGCCAAGATCAAAGCACGCCAATATATCCAATGCTCTGTCAACTACAGACCAAAGGGATGGAAATGAAGATAGAAAAATATTTGCATTTTTCTACTCTCTCCTTAAATATAGCTCCCCTTGCAGGAAAAGAGAAATTAATTTAGAGCAACTCTCGTGCTGTCCACATTTCTGCCCTAATTGGGGGATGTGGCAGGAGACTGTACAAGGATTGGATCCAAAACTCCTCCCATCCTATCCAGGACTCTGCATCTCCTTTCATAACTTTCCAAGATTGGAATTTTCCAACCTCAGAAAGCACCAGGGAAGAAATCTCTTAACCTCGTGGGGAGAGGGCAGATCTCCACTATTGTGGTCTCAAAGGCCACATAATGGCAGTCTAGATAGTATTACCTGTTAATTATCAACCATTGAACACCAATTGTTTTGAACTATTAAACAATATCAAAAGATCACCCTTTTAATTGGCACACTAACATTTTTCAATATACATTGTTTAGTTGCATACACCTGGAGATACATTCCTGTCCTAAAGTTGTTAGAAAAGAGCATTAAAGAGTCTGTAAAGAAGAGGGAAAGCTGCACCTCTCCCAAACATCTGTTTGAGGAATACAGGTAGTCTTTGATTTATGTGTCAACCGACCCATTTGGCACATTCCACCAAAGAAACTCTCAGCTCTTGTAGATTACTAAGAGAGTAGCTTTATTGAAAGAGCCATCTAGGTACAGCAGAAGCAAAGTCATTTCTTGGATTTTGCCACAAAACCCCACATAGGTAAAATCCCTTTTCCCTCTCTGGAGCACCCAGTTCATAGTTCACCAATTGGGTTTAGTTCAGTTCAGTTTTGTTTTCAGAAAAGATTGTCTGTGCTGCTCAAACTCGACCTTGGTGTCTAAACATCTCCCCGGCAACAGAAAGCTCTCTTGCATTCTGGAGCTTCCCTCCCTCCTTAGGAATTCATCTACCACCACCACCACCCTCCCCTCTTGCTGTTTGGCAAACTGAGAGTGACAGCAGGTGCAACTATGGAGTAGAGTCAGTTTTGACATTATGACCATAATTGGGCCCAAAATTCATCCCATTTTACCATCTTTCTTGCCACAGTTGTTAGATGTGTTGTTGTGTCACTGGAATTAAGTTTGTAACATGGTTGTTAAGTGAATCTGGCTTCCACATTGAGTTTGCTCATCAGAAGGTGACAACTGGTGATCACATGATTGGGACATTGCAACATCATAAATATATGTCAGTTGCCAAGCATTTGAATTTTGATCATTTGACCATGGGGATGCTGCAATAGTCGTAAGTGTGAAAAATGATCATAAGTCACTTTTTTCAGTGCCATTGTAACTTTGACTGGTCACTAAATGAATGGTTGTAAATCAAGGAATACCTGCACAGTGTTGGATACATTGTTCCCACCCACCAAATTGTTTCTTA